GGTCATTGATTCTCCTAATGATTCTGTTGTTAGAACGCATGTGAATAAATGTTCAAATTTGAATTTTTGTTGTTTTGGTTGTGCTATAATGACCCACCAAAAATAGCAGGTGAGACAATGGCATTTCATTGGCTAACCAATTACTGTTGAGTACCTTAAGTTTTTCTTTACCAACTGAACGTTCAGCCGTGGTATACTGTTTCCTGACCCCGTTGGGCGGGCTTTGGGTTTCAGAAAACACCGAGAGCGCTGTCTTCAAGTTTTGTGGTAATGAATATAATTATAATCTGTCAAGTTATTGTTGTTATCTTATGTTTTCGAATTTAGCCTAATACAGTTTTGAGTTTATAGATGTATAAACATAAACAACGGTGTGTTCACTGTGTATATCCGCTAGAATGTGAGTGAGTGAGTTTAGTCTCACGCCGCTTTTAGCAATATTCAAACAATATCACGGCGGGGGATACCAGAAATGGCTTCTCACACTGTACCCATGTGGGGAATTGAACCCGGTTGTTCGGCGTGACGACCGAACGCTTTAACCACGAGGCTATCCCACCGCCCGCTAGAATGTGAACAGTATTGGTGTCAACATTGGACTCATCCCAGACCCTCATGGTTGAGGGAATTGTCCAGCAACATGTGTAGAGTATCCATATCTGTGACATCTGTAATGATTGTGAGTTCGAATCCTGGTTTGTCTTGATTATGTTCCTTAGTTTGCCATCACCTCTACCGTGGTAGACGTCAGTGGCCTGCATCGCATCACGATGATACGTGGTGGAATACTGGAATACAGTTCAAAGCCGCGTCTAACCCAACACACGTACCATGTTGGTGATCCACAGTGACCCTCTGTATTGTTTATATAGTATTATGTTTGCTGTGATAAATGTTTATGATTTTATATTTATTACAATATTATTCACACGGACTGCTAATTCCGCGTCAATGCTACAGGTATAAAATGTTACGGTAACACTGTGTGTCAAGTTTGATTTAATCCCTAGATCCACATACGCATAAAGGGAATTTCAGTTATAACCAGCCGGTTGGCGATAAGTCAATATGTTGTGGGTCTGTTGTATCGGAGTGTGGCATGAATGCTGAATGTGTCATACAAACAAATTGATTACACACACGTGTCATACAAACACATCGAGTACACACACGTGTCGTACAAACACATTGAGTACACACACGTGTCGTACAAACAAATTGAGTACACACGTCTCATACAAACACACTGAGTACACACGTGTCACAAACAAACTCAGTACGTACAATACAAATTGAGTACACACACATGCCATACAAACACATTGAGTACACACACGTGCCATACAAATAAATCTAGTACACACACGTCATACAAACAAATCGAGTACACATACTTGTCGTGCAAACAAATCTAGCTAGTACACAAGTGTCATACAAACAAATCGAGTACACACGCGTGATACAAAAAAATCGAGTACAGACATGTAGCGTGCAAATAAAGCTAGTACACACGTGTCATAGAAATAAATCCAGTACACACACGTGTCATACAAAAACATCTAGTACACATACGTGTCGTACAAACAAATCTAGAACAGACACATGTGTCGTACAAATAAAGCTTGTACACAGATGTGTCATACAAAGAAATCGTGTACACATACGTGTAATACAAACAAATCGAGTACACACGCTTCATACAAACAAATCGAGGACAGACATGTGGCGTACAAATAAAGCTAGTACACACGTGTCATAGAAACAAATCTAGTACACATACGTGTCGTACAAACAAATCTAGAACACATACGTGTCGTACAAACAAATCTAGAACACACGCGTGTCGTACAAACAAATCGAGTGCACACACACGTGTCGTTCAAAGCTAGTACACACGTGTCTTAGAAGAAACGTCTTAGAAGCAAATGGAGGAAGCAAATGGAGTACACACACGTGTCTTAGAAGCAAATGGAGTACACACACGTGTCTTAGAAGCAAATTGAGTTACACACACGAGTCTTAGAAGGAAATGGAGTACACACACGTGTCTTAGACTGACTGACTGACTGACACTGAGTTTGGTTTTACGCCGCTCTTAGCAATATTCCAGCAACATCACGGCGGGGACACCACAAATGGGTCAAATGGACTGATTACATGGAGTACATGTCTTAGAAGGAAATGGAGTACACACACGTGTCATAGAAGCAAATGGAGTACACACACGTGTCTTAGAAGCAAATGGAGTACATACACGTGTCTTAGAAGCAAATGGAGTACACACACGTGTCTTAGAAGCAAATGGAGTTGAAGCAAATGGACTGTACACGTGTGTCTTAGAAGCAAATGGAGTACACACACGTGTCTTAGAAGCAACAAGTGCCTGGAGTGACTGACTGAGTTTGGTAGAAGCACGCCGCTTTTAGCAATATTCGTCTTAGAAGCGGGAGGACACAGAAATGGTACACATACGTGTCTTAAAGCAAATGGAGTACACACACGTTGCTGTGTAAGTGCAATAACATTGAGCCACGTGGAACGGATTTGTAAGGCTGCGTGTATAACTTCTTCGCATATTTTGATATCAATTTTCTGCTGATTCATCTTGGCACTAGATAAACAATATTACTTATCAATATTACATTTCTCTGCCTAGAAACAAAAGCAAACAAATTAACTATAAATCGAACTAATCATTACTGATACGGTACTCTAAAGGATGAAACGTACCACGAGAATGAGCTAAGGATACGCATCAATCACTCAAGACCTGTGCTGACACTGGTCCAAGCATGTTAAGTAGCATCGCCACTCAAACATTTTCATATATATTATTTTGTCGAAATATATGATTAATGGTTGTAATGAAATATAATGAATGTTTTTGTACTGTGAGTTAACTTCACATCGGCAATATGGTGTAGCATTCTCTTTGTATTGATTGCATAATCGATATTTCATTTCTGCATTTTCGTGAAAAAACACATAGACGATTTCTAGTGAGACTTGTCTGCATCATCAAACAAGAAGCCTTCAGTTACACCTTTCAAGATAGCCGAGTTTATTTAAGCGAAGGATTTTACAGGACTGCTCTTCCTCTTATTAATAGTGACGTTCATAAATTATTCGCCCATACACTGAGATTGTTCCGATTTGATAGAACTTACTATATGTAAGTATTCAATACTACAAGTGGATGTGTGTGATCTCCGCTATCAATGTCGCTATGATACAAAGGGCATTCACTGACACGATTTCTATGTCAACAATTGCTATGTCGTGAAGGATGTGATAACAAACCGGCATACCAATGAATAGTTTAAAGGGAGGTAACTAAAACAATAGCATGGATGAGGTTTAGATTATAGTGTCTCCTGACGACGTTTTCTGACAGATACCTACTGTAAATTTTGTTAGTTTCTTGGTTTAGCGTCACACTCAGCAATATTCCAGCTATATGACGGCGGTCTGTAAATATTCGAGGCTGGACCAGACAATCCAGTGATTGACATCATGACCTTTTGATCTGTTGGGATACCATGACTTGTGTCAACCAACATTCATGGTGTGACGATATCCAACAAACTTGTACGCTTCCTTTCTGTGAAACAATAAACTCTACATTCTGGAGACCGGCCATGTTGATATGCAGTCATTTTTGACAAAAAGTTTTGGCAAAACTTTTTGACCGAAACATATATTAATGTTTATACATCTACTTGTACGTTCAGTATCACCCACTGTGAAACACGCTAGCTCCCAATATATCATAATACGTATCAAAATACAGATACCTGAATATTGCCTATTAATAGAATCTGTTTGCAAATACACAGGGATTAATAACAAAACATACGACTGTATACATTGAAATACTAAAACCAATCAACATGTAGGCCCATCCCGTCTACACTGCTGCTACCGTACAACTTGTGAGTGCCACCGTAAACATGCATACAGTCAAATGCATGTATTATAAACACGCTCACAACGATCCATATACACGTTTATTGAATATGGGACGTGTCAGTTTTCAAACTTTATAACCCATTCACAATAATGGGTCGTGCTAAAGACAGTAAACAGCTAAAATTGACAGAAAAACAAAACACCCAACGTTTTCTATATTGTGTTGGTGTATTAGTTGTAACACAATATAGTTCTTTACGGTCCTTTTATGGTCTAAACATTCATTATCAATGTATGACTTGTTCTTGTCACGAACCCGTGAAGGTCCGGAGTAGAGAAGAAAAGAAGAAGAAAATAGTTTATTAACGTGTCCCGTGGTATACAATTGACATGGTAAAATCGCATAAAATTCACAATAAAAATGTAGACCACCTGGCCCTTTGGCCTGTGAGACACGATAACTACTTAAAATCCAGATAAAAATGTGGAACTTATTAATATAAGACTGAAACATTGAAATATTAATATATATACTGATAATTATTGTCCAGGACTAAAGCGCGTGTTAGAACTGATCTCCAGTAAACCATGCTTGTCGTAAGAGGCGACTAACGGGATAGGGTGGTCAGGGTAGGTCGACTTGGTTGACACATGTCATCGTGTCCTATTTGCGTAGATCGATGTTCATAATATAGCTTGATATAGCATGATATTCCATATAGCTGGAATATTGCTGAGTGCGGCGTAAAACTAAACTCACTCACTCTAGTCACGATGTGGCTGACTATACTCACCCTATTTAACCGCCGTTAACTTTGGTAGTATGCCTTCTTCGTGATGAAGCGGTAGTTCATGCTAACTGCCACAGTGTTCCAGTTCAAGACTTAAAACGTTGGACGCTGAACACCCTATTTAACCACCATAAACTATGGGAGTATGCCTTCTTTGTGACCATTTTACATGCATCTGTAAATACCTAAACCCACAAAAATAGTAACAACCTATATCATGACCATGCGGGAGAGCTCGTGTACAACAATACGACAATAACACCCATGTCCTAGTACATGATACGTACGCGTATATAAGGACCGTTATCTTGACCCTCATCCGCATGTGATTGACTCAGCTACCATATCGTATATCTCTGTACATCAGACACAGGTATTAACTGTTCAATGTTGATGGTATTTTCTATTCAAATGATCGGATTCGGCAACATTTAGCGTGGCCCAGCATTCAACAAGGATTATGTACATCACCTGATGGACCTGTGAGGATACACAACATGGGAGGGTCACAGTCAGGTAAGATATAAAGTTTTTACTTTATGTAGGTGAGTGACTTCTATATATATGTAAATATGCCTGTTTATGCAAGGTACGTGGTATGGAATGAATTTCTGCTGCGTGGAAGAATATTTCAAGCCACGTCAGTTTGAAAAGAAAAGAGATTTTACACGTGCATTATATTCGAGACCTGCCAGAAAAGATGCTGTGCTTATAGACCGATAATTTAAACAGGTCGATGTGAACTCAGTCACTGCGGATCATAGTATGGCTTGGGGACGCAGTCACTGTCACATGAGCTGATAATTGAGGGCACGTAGTGCTACTGTCACACATCTGTATCGCGATATTATCTCGGTTGGGTCTTCTCCAGTACATCATAATTCACTTATTTGTACATAGATGATTGTCCAAGCAGCACTTCATGGTATTTAATTACCGTATTATACCTCATGTATGACACTGTACCACGATCCAGTCGGGTGATAAAGAGATAGTTCTTGCTAACTGCCACCGTGTTCCATTTCAATACATAAAGCGTAGGACACCGAACAAAAATACCCTAATACCCATGCATATCTGAAGGATTAATTGCAGTGGGCGTTTGATAGGGTATGACTTAATTATGTGTTATCATTTCTCGATGGTGTTCTTCGAACTATTGGTCTGTCTGGTCGACATGGCAACCATTAAACTAACAAAATCTCTTTTACCTTCTTTTACAAGAAGAACGAACAACCGTTTTGTAGAGATTTGTAACTTAGTCGTTCTAATTTCATTAAAACCAGTGAGTAATTAATGAAACATTGCTGACTTGATGTAAAACACAAACTCACTCATTATATCTACTAGACATTCGCCGCTTTAATGCAAACCCATATACTTGCTTTCCGATGTTTAAACATTAGTGATATCGGATATACCATCGTATAATGAATCTTCCATCATATCAGCATTCTTATTATTATTATCACTGTTAATAGAAAGCGACAAAACCCTTTCCGTCTCCATAAGAATTCTCTGCTAAAAGCAGATTCGCTTGTACAATTGTGACTATACCATGGGCACATATTTGTTTCAGCATTACAGCTGTATGATGTTGTTTGTAAACAAATCAAGCCTGTACCAGATAATCCAGTGATTGTCACCACGATGACAGAGGATGTGATTATGATAACAATAGATGATGATCAACTGTGTGTGCAGAAATCGTGTCCAATATCATTATGTAAGATAGATTCATTGTCTTTGAACGTTGTTAAAACGATGCTCCATTTTTCAGGGGCGCGATCATCAAAACCTCTTCTGTATGACGGTAAGACAACTTCAGTTCCCTATAAACCTATTTACACGTGTATAACAACTATCAGGTCTATAATCGTATGTTCAAAATGAAGCTTTGTTTGGGAAACTGCCGACAGCAACAAGAACAACAACCTTTATTTACTATTTCGTTGACATGTGTACATGCGCATAGCCAAATTTGAATATAATTAACTAATATCATATACATTACATACACATATATATATAACACGACGCCACATTTATGACAAAAATGTCGATCCTATTCCAGAGCACGCACCAGTGGAGAAATGAATGCAGTTAAATAGCGGCAATGGCCAGAGAATTTCTGATTCAATTGGAAAACTAAAACGTTTCACTGAAAACTCATGCTGCAATATTACCATTATATCAAAAATAATGTTTGCATATTTATATAACGTCACTCTGAGTTGAGTCAATAATTTTAGATAGGTAGAGATTTTGAATGCATTTGCATGTTTTAATACTTGATTCTAACGTGACTAAACTGACAGGATAAGGAAAGTATACCAAGTATTTTTGTGTTATTTATTCTTTGCATACAGTTGTTAACGAAATAAACTAAAGTATGTAAACAACATCCCACTCAGTAACAGGTACAGGTACATAAATGTAACCATACCAAACTGAATGTCATTCATGTATTTCCAAAGAGAACAGTTCTGTGGTTTATCAACAAAAGTTACAAACATGTTTTAAAGTTTAGTGAAAATATCCTAATCATACATAAAAGATATTTGCATTTTCTGTGAAGTAATTAGAAAAAGACGATAAGGTTAGCTGTGTCTCTAGATCAGATGCAACAGATGTTGTTTCGTTTATGTAAAGTCACTATTAAAACTGCCTGTAAATACTAGAGTCCCGAGCAGGCAGCGTTCCACATGTTGTATATATACCGTCGCTTACAGCCCGGGAAAGCCACATTTAAGAGAATCTCGCGGCACCGAGGTTTGTACTTAACAGGTGGATTTAGCGGCAATTGGTATTATTCAAATGTGTTTTTCCCGGGCGGACCACATACAGTCAACGCTATAGAATAGTCAGTCTCGATAATCTGTCCAAACATTCATTTGGACGAAAGGAATTGTAACAGTGATGAAAAATACATGATCACTGCAAATCAGAGATGACACCAGATGTTCCATGACAAACTTAGTCATCAAACCTGACCACCCGATCTGGTCACACCTTTCGATACAGTTCCTGGATACCTACATCAACCCACCAACACAAGGAGGACATATTACCTGAAAACAAACAATTCAAAATATCCTTTCTATTATGCATTTACTCGTGGTTCTTCACGATGTCACTATGAAAACATTGTCTCATTGAAGCAGGCTAAGGGGTGTTCCGGCATAACGTGTAATTTGATTCAAATGAAACATTAATGCTCTCGATAATACATTATTTTAGCATTAAATGCAACGTAAGGCTTGTTTGTTCAATGTAAATATAGTTCTCTGGCGTTCATCTTAATCAAATATGCACATGGATATCAACACGAACCGTTCCATTTCTCAAATCACATTGTCATCGCACACGTTCGAGCAAAGTGCACACTGTTATGAATGATTGCAACTATACTCATGCCAATAATGGTTGTCACCTCCTTCAATTTTTTTAATTGGAGAGGGGGGTGTGAGGTGTGTGTGGGGTTGGGGTGGGGAGGGGGTGACAACCATTATTGGCATGAGTATATATACAGTGGCTGGTGTTGTTATGATAGGGTTCCTGTGATGTTATAACGGGGTGAAGTGTTATCTACATTTTATCTGCATTGGGGTAACAATCGTAACGAACACCGGTCTCATTGTAACATAAGTAGGGTAAATGCAGATTCATTATAACATTATTATTATCAACGTTTCTTGCATTTGTTTCCATCTTATCAATCTCATTTACAGACGTTTTTGAAAGTTCAACAGCAACGGCCACAACCCTGTACTGCTGCTGTCTGCGTAGAGAAATTCAATTGCCCATAAAGTATGGCAGCGACCAGAAACAACTGGCATATCGCTTACAAGAGTACCCTATGTTGATGGATCCAGGTACACCATGTACCATTATTGTATTATATGTTGATAGATCCAAGTACATTATGTACCCCTTACTTATGTACTAAATATTCATGGATCCAGGTACATTATGTACCCCTTACTTATGTATCCATGTGATAGATACTAAATATTCATGGATCCAGGTACATTATCGATCCAGGTAAATGTCGATGGATCCAGGTACATTATGTACCCCTTACCCATGCACTATATGTCGATGGATCCATGTGATAGATCCAGGTACATTATGTACCCCTTACACTTATGTTGATAGATCCAGGTACATCTATGGATCCATGTGATAGATCCAGGTACATTATGTACCCCTTTCTTATGTACTTATATGTCGATGGATCCATGTGATAGATCCAGGTACATTATGTACCCCTTACACATGCACTATATGTTGATGGATCCAGGTACATTATCTACCCATTACACATGCATTAAATGTTGATAGATCCAGGTACATTATCAACCCATTACACATGCATTAAATGTTGATATCCCATCCAGGTACATTATGTACCCTTTACACATGCACTATATGTCGATGGATCCATGTGATAGATCCAGGTACATTATCTACCCATTACACATGCATTAAATGTTGATAGATCCAGGTACATTATCTACCCATTACACATGCATTAAATGTTGATAGATCCAGGTACATTATGTACCCCTTACACATGCACTATATGTTGATGGATCCATGTGATAGATCCAGGTACATTATGTACCCCTTACACATGCATTAAATGTTGATGGATCCTGGTATATTATCTACCTCTACTGTACAATTTGTTCACAGATCCAGATACATTGTGTTCCCCTATTTACTATATATTAATGGATGCAGGTACATAATCTACCCCTATGTTACTATATGTTGATGGGTCCTTCTACATTTGGTCCCCATTACACATATGTGCCCTGTGTTGACAGATCCTGGTATATTTATCATTTACCCATGATGTAGCCTATGCATTTGTTCATGGTGAATGCACCGGCTCACCTTTTCGCGAACACCTGGTAACATCACTATTTCATAGTGATTCATAAACCCTTGCTCTGTCATCGTATCTCATACAATGGTGTCAGTCACTGGATTGTCTGGTCCAGACTGTTTACAGACCTCGTCTTACAGCTGTAATACTGCTGAATGCGGAGTCAAACAGACACGTACCCATGATATAGTCAGAATTGTACAATCGACTCTGCTGTTAGGAGAGATTTCTTATGGATTCTGAAATGATTTTGTCTTTTCTATTCACATGTACCCTGCGTTCATAGATCTACCCCTTTCCGACGTACCCTATGTTGACAGATGCGTGTAACCCTATACATGTGTAACCAATGTTAAGAGATCAGGGTACATTCTTTCCCCTTACATATACCCCAAAATACCATTTAAGTAACCAGAGTCTGAAGAATTAAATTATTCCTTTAAAACTTTTGAGAATAGACTATAAGATCGATTAAAATATGTCTATATACAAGTAAATTATACGGTTATCGACTATGCTTTCATGTATAAGTTGAGCGATGTAAAATCTTGTAGAAAGAGTATTATGAAGTATATTTTGTAGGAAACATTGCGAAATCTTAGTTTTTGTAAATAAAGTCAGTTTTTGCCAAATTTGAAAAAAAGCGATGCGATTGCCACCCCTAATATTCAAACCTAAAACTGGATTTTACATATTGCGTTAATTTTTTACATACGATTGTACACACCAAGTTAAAGATTGTTTTTACACTTTGCCTTAGGTATTGTACTTTTTGCGTTAAAGACCTCTTTTACATATTGCGTTAATTATTTACATACTGCGTTAGTTTTAACATATTGTCTTGATTTTACATATTGGGGCTGTACAAGGTACAGGTACATCTAAAATGTAGATTATAGATCCTGTGTTGACAGATGCTTGTAAGCCTATACATGTGTACCCAATGTTAAGACATCAGGGTACATTCCCCTTACATAGGCACTGTGCCATATGTTGATAGACACAAATAATTGTTTTCACCTGACAGGACTAAGCTCATACTGATGGATCCCCGTAAACTATGAAATGATGTACTTAATAACAACATGAGATGAATACAGATAAATTTAACACACTTTTGTATTGACACCCCGTGTCGATGGATGCAAGTATTTATTCAGAATTGTTTGATAGTTTTCCTAAAGATACATGCAGATATCTGAAATGTAGTTTGCATAGTTTGAAATAAACTAGTGCCCCTTAAGCATGGTCTAGGTATATGTATGACTATCTCAAAGTCCCTTTTCCAACAGTCGCCTTCCGGGTCCATTCTGCGGTCACTGACAAACGGTTTGTGAAGGCTATGTTCAGTTTTGTGGAGTGTTCCGGACACGTGTCTCTACAGGACACCGAAACTGATGACGTAGCTGAGGTCAGTCCGCTCGTTGTCTTCTGTCTCAACAACAGTTCCGTGGACGCAGATGCGGGGAGAGCTCTCAGCGAGGCCAGAGGTCAGCCTTAGGCTATAACATCTCAAGGCGCAAATGATTCATTTTAGCAAGATATTATTTGCCATTTGTTATTTCAAGATGATACAACTGTAAGGTATTTTTAAGCCACGTGTTCATTAAACGTAATGATGTACAATAAAACAATAGACTTTCCAGAAGGTTTTCATATCGAGACCGCTGTCTTCATATTTTAAAATGAATATAGAAGTCATCCATTCCATATATAATAGTCTTTGATTTGAAGTAACCAATTAAGTATCATATTAGATTATGATTGGTTGGAACTATGAAATGATTAATGTAATTCTACACAAATAACATACATCATGATTTCTATGCGGATACTTTTGTAATGCTTAGAGTTATTTAGATGCCCCCATAAGGACCGATTTTTACGTTTTGTTTTGTGTATCAAAGGTGATGATCTTCATGTTGTCTCATTTCAGAGGGTAACGACGTATTTCTGGTGGTGATTAAGAAAGTGAACCCCAACTCCCCTTACAATAACACCCTGAGTCTCTCAGCTAAAAATAGGCGTCGCATTGGTGGGTGTGGAATACTTACATACTCAACAGATTCCAAGAAGTTCCAGGAAACAGATGACAATATGGACATGTTAAGGCGACTACGTCACTTCCTGCTGGATGCAGCTGTTGAAATTGATTAAACATGTGAACTTTTCATGCACCTTACACCTACGTGCGCCTAGAATGTGTCAAACTTCCACTCTACAATCAGTAATGTGCAAGCTTTAAGGCTATAATCTTTAAAGATGTTCAGTTTGCTTTCCCAAAATAGCATTGATCGAAACCGTGCTTTTAGGGGATTAAAACTACGATTATTACTAACAGACAGCAATGGTACTCTTCAAAGCTCAGGCGGTCATGATGTAGTTCATTAAGGAAATCGTGCATATGAATAATATCATATGTGAAAGCATTTTGACATAACCTGCGTAATCGGCATGCCCTACCAACCGTGACTGCCACACAAATACCAGGTTTGAGGAGAGTGTCAGCTCAAACGATTAGGAACCGTCTGAAAGAAGCGGGTTTACGTGCCTGTAGACCAGTTGTTGGACCTGTACTACGCCCCCTACATCGACGCCGACGACTCAGGTGGTGCAACAACGTAAGGATACGGACTTTACAAAACTGGAGGCGAATCTGGTTTTCTGATGAATCACGTTTTTCTTTTGCAACGTCACGACGGAAGACAGCGTCTGTATAGGAGACGTCATAAACGTTTTGCGCCCATCTGCGTCCGACAGGTGGACAGATTTGGCGGAGAAAGCGTCATGGTTTGGGGAACCATCTCATACAACCAGAAATCAGACTTGGTGATCGTTCCAGGGAACCTGACAGCCCAACGTTACATCAACCACGTGTTAGAGCTTCACCTTCTCCCGATTATTGACCAACAGACACAGATTTTTCTTCAACGGGACAACTGCCAAATTTCAGACTTCTGTCTTAAAATAATAAAAATGCCGTGTCGTCCTAAAACTTCAGATCAAAATCTCTATATTGCGTTTCTTTTTTGACGTTGTTATGTCGGTCATTGTTCAAGGATTTAATGCACATTTTATAATCAACATGTATATATAATGGAAGGGTGTGTACTCTCAACACATGTGGTAACTAATACCCCAGTCATATCCTTGATGTTCTTCGTGGTCACAATTTGGTCGCGTAAGAGATATTTGACCTAATATCTTACAAGTAATAAAATCAGCTTTTATTAGCGCCGCATTGGTGAACATATATTTCCAAATAGCGTTGATGGTTTTTGAGTTGACTGATGTTGATTGATGTGTGATATCAATCAACTAAATGACCATGGTTCTTGATCATGGTTTTCACTCACTAAAGTAAACCTTTTATCAGAATGACCTGCTTTGTATACTCAAAAGCAAACGTTATTGTGACACACAGACAACACACAGGCTTTTAGTGCCGCCAGTAAAATACTATTACATGGAATGACAACTGTTTCAAGCTACAGCAACGACCAGCTGTCCATACGATGGACGCAAATAGCATACCTTGCTCAAAACAACTCGCTATGAGTGCCAACTGATGTTTCTAATGGACGTTAGGTCAACGAACAAAGTCATGCTACGAGGTACCAGACTGAAGCATACCTATAGCTCTCATTTTCCCCTTGGCCTTGTATGTCTACATTGTTCCAGAACGATGAAAAGACTCCCAATTACAGAAATGCATTCATGTACTGGCACTCTGGCATATTGATTAACTCAACACCAGGTTCTATACTCACATAGGTTTACTCGATCCCTCTCGTCGTTACAAGGTTACGTGGTCTGGACAGGATAGGGTAAGCTCTTTACCAGATATGGAACTGCACGATCGCGATGCGAACGTTCTGCTGACTTTGTAACCCGCACCACTTTCTAGTGCTGGTATTTCTTTAAGGTGTTCGAGCCTGCTCCACCCTTGTCACATGACCAGATACAATGTTTCTGATTCGTTTAAAGTTACATCATTTCATGGTCTCATGTCGTACCTCGCGATCGGAAATTGCTGTTAACTATCATCGATAATTTACCGTTAATTGCTACTTTTAGGGACTTTATGTTCTGTTACCGACAGTTATTATGTTCTCTATCTCTTAGTTTATTACCAAGCAGTGATAGTATCAATTCTATCACGAAATAACCGTAATTCTCAATAACGGATTTGTGATATGTTTTTGTATAACAGGTGCATTTTAACCTTATAACAATACTCTGTTTCATACTCAGTAGAACGTTTGGTTTTAGTTTTTTGTTGGCTTTGCAATAAATGATATTTTGTAATTACTTAGAAAGACTTTGTTGTAATGACTTTTGTAGCGACTGTGTAAAACAAGTACTGTGTGCAAGTACTTATATGATTATGTTTTACAATGACATCAGTTATCTACATTCTCGTGTTTTGCATTGTTCATGCACATAATATTCAAACCCGCTTTATTCATATGCAGTTCCAAGCCACTAAAGTGAGTGAGTGAGAGAGTATGGTTTTACGCCTCTTTAAACAATATTCCAGCAATATCACGTCGGAGGACACCAGAAATGGACTTCACACATTGTACCCATGTAGGGAATCAGACCAAGGTCTTCAGCGTGACGAGCGAACGCTTTAACCATTAGGCTATCCCACCGTCCCCCACTAAAGAACATACCTGCTACATACAATCAACTACATTATGTATGAGGGGAATGACAGATGAACTTGTACATCATTGTATGTTTACAAAGGAGAAGTCAATAATGAAAACTGTAATTCACTGGATTTATCAAAAAGGACATGATCGGATTTGTTGGCCTGAACCTTTTGTGAAGAATTTTATAATTATCATTTTCCATGACGCCATTTCTTGGGAGTAGCATGGATACACGTAAAAAACACAAGCAAGTAATAAGAGGATCCTGCCAAGCTATTATGTCACGTAAAATGATGCCAAAGCTGGGACTCCACTGACGATTTATAGATATGAACGTAGAAACATGTCCAACATTGACACCATTATGACATCATTCAACATTACGTCATTATGGGATGATGCATTGCGTGATGTCATTCCTCTACCTCGTCAGCAGGAAGATAGGCATCGATCGACTATTGGCCTGAGACAGAGGGATATATTACAATCTGTTATACACACCTCCTTTCCAGCGCATAGTATAGTTATCACATGTCAAGCCTCTCCTTGCCCCTGTAAGTGAAATTTGATATGATGATACTGATGACCTTAACGCGTGTTGTTTACGTAGCACAATGTTATCTACACAATGGGATTTCAAAGGTCCTTTACATAATACAGTCTCTAATACCGAGGTAAGTATGACATCCATTTTCCCTCTCGTAGCTATGCGTTGTTCAATTTGACAATGAGCACCAATAATACAGTATATATCTTTTCACAGAATATGTGTTAATGCTAACAGGACTTCCCATGTGTGTAATCCTAATGAGATAACATATAACACAATGTCATAGTGCTGATCTGTCTAATTGGTTCATATGTGGCAGTGTGCGTTCATCTGACTGATCAAACTCACAATTTATTGTTGCAGCTGTGATGATGTATCACCGTGACACTCACCAGCATGGGTAGCTCGACATCAGGTGAAGATTTCTGCTGAAATTCATTAATAACGCTTCTTTCACGAAGGAAAGTTTCCACTTTTGCATAAAACCAATACGTATGCAAATGTACGCACGCAAATAACAACGCAGCTTGAAATTATACTCATGGAAACTAATAAGGGAGCACCTGAAAGTGCAAGTGTTCCTTTATTCTTTTCTAGGTTTCTTCGCAAGCTTTGCATTGCACTGTGGGTGAATTTCTGGAAGAGAATAAAGGAACACTTGTACTTTCATGTGCTCCCTTATTCGTTTACCTGAGTATATATTCCTGTATATGTACACTCACGTGTGTTGTTAATAATGATCAATGTGGCAAGGATGGCTCAGTGTTCATTGCGCCGAAATTCGTTGCAGAGAACTGCGTCCCTTGGGCAGATCAGAAACCTAAGATTAAAGGTTCGAATCCTTCTTTGTTACGATTGTTTCTAGGTTTGTCAGTAACATACACGCGCACGTGGGTCTCATGAAAGGCATGTATTACTTCCGGATTGCCTCATGCATAATCCTGGTACGTTGTGATGTGACTGAGAAAACAAACCGAAACATGATCTTATGAACCAATTCAGACAATGACCTACAGCTTGTTCAGCTTGACCTGATCAAATGAATACTAATGCATTGCGTGACCGTGTCACAACTGGTTCTGTCTATTATTGTCAAGGGGTGCACCTTTGTCAGTTGATTGTCCACATGTCCGAACAACCGAGAAAAGGTCGCCGTTTGAGTCGAAAAATCGTCAGCAATGTCCTTTAAAAAAGAAGCTACAGATGGTTTAATGTTTCCTATTCGGACTGTAACGAACCCATGTATGCATGCTTCGCACGATCGCAACATTAAAAACATTCTTTGCTCCCCTATTTAATGAAGTTATCTCGACCAGCCGTTTGTGCCATTTGACCTCCTAGGTCATGCATATGTAGAGTAGCTCAGGTTAAGCTGAACAAGCTGTACTTTTAAACCGATCCGAATTTTCTCTTGTGAAAGTGAAAAGAGACACTACAAAGAACTATGGTAACACGAAATTTCAATTCCTTGTTTTATAAGAAAATGGTATTTGCAAATGAATTTTAATTTAAAACTTTAAAAAAATCGCATTTCTATATTTTATGTTGAGGTTTAGGCAGCATGACCTTAACTAAGACGCCACAGACTCCCCCTGTTTGAAGAGGTCGTCAAATGATTCACAATTCATCTGGCTCAGTGGTTACACCTGTTATGTGTTCTTTGCACTTATTCAGTATATATTTGTAACGTACAATGTGATTGATATCTTATCAAGTCCGTACCAGACCACCAAACGTTTCTAGCGGCCGAGCCTCCTTTTGAGATTTCGACGATTTCCAGATTTCCGTTTGTCAGAGCACGCTGCGACGACGTGCACGACGTGTTAAGGATTAGAAGGAGCGTAGTGTTGCAATATACAAGAGACTAGATGTATCAAATAATACTGATGAATACTTATATATCCAGTTGAAAGAGTTTGTCTTAAAAATTCTGGACTGGTTATTGTACTAAGTTGCGCAACAGGACGGAACGACGTCAGCAGGAAACGAGACTGCTGTGTAATCAATGTTTAGACTAGCAGAGTTTATATACCAGTTAAAACCATTATAATTCATAGTCATTCAGCATGTTACAGTTAAAAATGTGCATACTCTAAATGTAGTGACTGAAGTCAGTTCAAACTGAGTCATCTGTATTAGTAACATCATGGAATATCAGTGAGTGTGTGAGTTTAGTTTTACGCCGCACCCGGCAATATTCCAGCTATATTGCGGCGGTCTGTAAATAATCGAATCTGGACCAGATAATCCAGTGATCAACAGCATGAGCTTCGATCTGCGCAATTGGGAACCGGTGACATGTGTCAACCGAGTCAGCGAGCCTGACCACCCGATCCGGTTAGTCGTCTCTTAGGACAAGTATGGGTTACTGACGACCAACTCTATCACAGTGTATCAGCATGTTGTAGGAGGAAAACCAGGCAATAGATGTACACGTTTACCGTTATCGTAACTCATCTTAACGTTAGATATGTAGTGTGTAGTTGGTATGAGACAAGACTGACCATTTGAATTGTACTATAAGGCAAACATGATTTTAGTTTCATATTATGCGAAGGAAGATACGGCCCTGATTAAGAAGGTAAAAGACAAAGTCAGGCGAAAGTGTAAACTGAATCTGAAACAGGTGTCAGCTCGTTCTAAAGCCAGCCCCCTACTTCTGTTCGTCGAGGTCACAACCACCATCGATCAGGCTGTCAATGACGTCATCAAAGAAGCGAGAGGTACTGTCCCTATTTCATTTGAATTCTGAACTCGCAATTCATAAAACCACACCACACACATGAATAGAATGGCGTCTACTTTGTGTAGACTTTCGTTCGATTATATTTCAATTTATACTACATACCTGTTTCAGGGTCGGCTATTCTAGGTTCTTGCAGGAAAAAGGGGTATTGATAAAAAAATTACATATTTTCAGGAAATGTTTGAAAATAATATTTATCCTGCAGACTGTCAAAAGATCGTTGTTATATGAGGCTTTAGACTCATGGTTTAATAACATATTGGAGCTGAAAACAAAAATGATCCGTCTATGTACAGAATCCCAGCACCTCCTTATCCCTAACCTATTCCTATCCCAAAGTCTCTTATCATCTGTCTCTTATTTTAAACCCGTGAAGGTCCGGATTAGAATGAACCTTCAGTAACCCATGCTTGTCCCAACAGGCGACTAACGGGATCGGGTGGTCAGGCTCGCTGGCTTTGTTGACACATGTCATCGGTTCCCAATTGTGCAGATCGATGCTCCTGCTGTTGATCACTGGATTGTTTGGTCCAGATTCGATTATTTACAGACCGCCGCAATATAGCTGGAATATTGCTGAGTGCGGCGTAGAACTAAACTCACTCACTCAATTAATTTGATTCCTTCAATGTGCTTAATTGGGAGGCGTTGTTGTCTGCTCTGCTTCAAAACTAATTACAAATGAGTGCCACAAAAATACTACAACCAATTCCTTTACCTTCAGTTTCAATGGATATCTGTCTCTGTGATGGCAAATCGTGTTTAACCTCATCCATTGCAGGTGGCGATGACGTTTTTGTTGTTACAGTCAGAGTCTCCGATAGACACCCAGGAAAAAACAAGCATTTGTCCGATTTTATACATCAAACCACAAGGAAATTAATCCGAGATGCGTGTGTTTTCTTCTTTGACAAGACGGACCTTTCATCGACGGATTATCGAAATGATAATAAAATAGCCTTATGTGGAATAAAACGGTTCATAGCAGATGTCAAATCATTTGACAGACACATGACACAGTCTCGTGTTACTTTTCAGAGACACCCCTACCTCAATGAACCAGGTAAATATAATTGATATTTTGTTTTAACAAAACGTCATTCATTTCAGGACACAGCACGGTTTTGTGTTCGTTAGAATTGGCATAGAACTGTATATTGAGGATGACTGAATGTGAAAACGTTTTACTCACGCTTGATATCTGCATTGTACAGACGGTCAGATCAAGTAGGTAATGTGTTCTAGTCTATGTCATCCCGTAATAGGGGGGTGGTGGTTTAACCTAGTGTTTAAAGCGTTCGCTCATCAGGCCGAAGACCCGTGTTCGATTCCCCACTTTGGTACAATGTGTGAAGCCCATTTCTGGTGTTCCCCGCCGTGATAGTGCTGGAATATTGCTAAAAGAGGCGTACAACCACACTCACACACATATTCAGTAAAATATGGGTTCTGTATTATAATAACAATTTTCACAATCACATGTTGATAAACATTACTCTCTGTCTTAGGTATGATACCCTAGCAAACCTAATCGTGGAATAACTTCATTTAAGTGTGTAACAGGGCAACATCGATTGCCTAGAAGGATTTTTGTGGTACCAGGACAAATGTTTCACACAAACCGTTATCTTGCCTCACACATAAATGTCGTTTTCTGATTGGCTGGGCGCTCTTCTATTATTTTCAGTGTACCCCGCTTACAAGCGAGTAACATTTTCTATGTACCCCGCTGGGAATGCCGAACTCATTTGGTACTTCGTAGTAGTAATTCTTTGAATCACCTATGATGTACGGAAATTACCGATGTTTTGTGAAAGCAAATCGATGGAAGGGAGATAACTCTAAATTTGTTTTACTTGTCTTGTCCTCCATACTATGATCCGATACCCGGCTACAAACAGTTCAAAATTACCACTGAGGTGTTTGGTAAGATAAATACGTTGTTCACTGGTCCCTCGGGACCCATGGGTTGATGCACCCTCAGGCTCAGGGAACATATACAAACATCGAGGGTACATCAGCCCATGTCCCCCTCGAGACCAGTGAACAACTTATAATATTCATTTCTAACTATCGTATTAACATTGTAGTGGATGTGATCAGACATGTGTCGATCAACTTACGGGAGGAGGTGACCATGCTTCCTGACACATGTCAATTGTGTTGATCGACGCTTACGGTGTTAATCACTGGATTGTCTGGTCCAGACTAGATTACTTACAGACCTATAGCTGGCACAATGCGGTGTTAAACAACAAGCACACAAATACATCATAGGTTTTCACCTTTGGGTATGCTTGCAATACCCGTTCTTGGAACATGTTATTCTTTACCTTTTACTGGTGTTTTGTGAAAATGGTAACTCAAATCACTGTTATACCACCTTTTACGATGGGTCTTATGGCCTTTATACTAAAGAAACCCTTCTTCTTCTATATGTATAAGTATGAATGAATCATTTTTCAGTTTGCTTCTACTTTGTACCTGGGAGTCATATGGAACAAGACACGCTGACCTTTGTCCAGGAGGTCGGGCATTTCCCGTTGCAGAAATGTGCCAGAACCGATGTCAGGTCTGTCAGCCCCCTCATAGTGTTTACACCGTGCTACACACGGGTGGATGAGGATGCCAATTCAATTCTTAGAGAAGCTAGAGGTAAGAATTTATTTCGGGTGACATGTTGAAAGTGTATAGTGTATTGGGTAAGTTTCGTTACTAACAGATCGTCGCATTCTTGTTATACATGTACTTTATGAAATAATTAGTACAGAGACAGTGATGTATATAAAATAACTAATTTTAAAAGTAATGTGTGTATTGCTTGTAGAAATCATCTATCATCAAAGTGGTTATCACCATTCCATCTCATACAGATCCTGACACATAAGTTCGATCAGACAAGGTCCAGGTTTCATGTCAACTCTTTCATAAAGGTTCCACATTACCTCCAGCAAAAGTTATGAGGTAGCCAAGTTTAGTAATATGTTGAATAAATGACAAGAAATATTGTATATCTTCTTCAGATGGACCTGACGTGTTTCTGGTGATGATAGAAAGTGCCTACAAGCACTCCACAATCAGCAACATGCCCTATCTATCGTCAAAGAACAGAAGACGTATTGGAGACTGTGGCACCTTGGTGTACTCACTTGACTACAAGAGCTTCCAGGAAAACAGTCAGAATTTGCAGATGATACAAAGACTACGACAGTTTCTTATCGACACTGTTGAAGAAAACAAATCCAATATCTTAAGAAGATCACGAAATAATTTAGACGATTGTCGTGGAACACTGCTTTGAACATAACAAGATGGCGGTCCTGCGCTTGCGGTATCCCAGCCAGTATTTCCCACTTCATTGGAGATGATGATCCCTACCACAACTCAACAGAAGCTTGTATTGCGCACATAAGAAGCGACACACATTGTTAAACGTGGAATGTTAACCCATTAAAATTCATGTAAATCAATGAATGTTAATAATTGTAATTCAATACTGTATATGGGCCTGTGGCTTGACTTGACTTGGAATATCGCTTATATTGTAAGGTGCTAAGTAACAGCATATTGCAGTACCAGTAATGATCAGCTTGACCAGACGTCTTGATTCGATTGGCACAACCTAGTTCATTATAATGGCGCCATGGATATAACCATACATGTGTATATATGTTATGTTATGTTGTGTTCTGAAACAGTTTGAACTCCAAGTAAACCAAGGTTAGTTCTTAATAATTTCGTGCTTTGAAGTTTAGACAGATTCCCGAACGTTGGTTGGTTGAGAGAGCGGTCATGTGATCTAAATTTCAAGGTTCATTTCCCTTGAACCCTTCAAATCGTTCATACGTGTGTGAACGTTTTCGAGCCGATCTGGGTCATGTGAACTTTTGCCGGAACTACTTTCCGGGTTTTCCCCAGGATACTCGCTGTCCAGCTTGACGTAAACAAAATAAATCATTTGCATTCACACTCCTTTTAAGTTATACATATCATTTACTTGTTTTTGTACGTAACAAAAAGCGCCAGCTGAGCACAGTTTTGCAAAAATCTGACGGACAACGCGTCCGACAACAAGTCCCAGCCAGTGCGACCTAATTTTCAAATTTCCCCTACGGTTTCAAGGACCCCCAATGATCTTGCTGCATTTGGTGATGCCAATTAAGCGAGCGATCCTGTTTCAAGTCACCCGAATTTAGGCAATGTCACTTCTTCACGACCAAACGGATTTCCAATTGCCGAGCATTGTTCCTTATCACAAGAGTTTAATCTCTCGCGATTTGCGGGTTCTGCCCCGTTTTTTTTTTAAAACTGCTCATTAAATTTCACAATAAACAATCACAAATAAATAGAGTACACCAACGAAATCTGCTTCCTATTCGCCACGCCGCGCAACTTCGAAGTCGGTCAGTGTATTATTACGCGGTCAAACGAACCCGTCATAGTTATATTGGTACAATGACAGTTTGTAAAAATGATATTGTTATTGATATTTGTTTCTGTTTGATAATTTTATTGATGTTATGCTTATTAAAGCAGTTTCAAACCTATTGACGGATGTGTTGTAATATTTTAAGGACAACTTTGAGAACTATTCCTTCAAGGGTTGGGATACATGTGTAAAGAAATCGCCAAGTATACAAACACCGCTACAATACGGTCTTGAACACAATGACATTACAACATTACAGGTATTAAAACACATCACTGTAAACAATGATCATGTAGAAGTGGGTAAAAAACGTATGTGTAAACATCAAAGTGCGAAATTATAAGAATTGAATGTCACTCGTAAACTCGTAAACTCGCTCGTTCACACGAGTTTGAACAACGCTTTGACATCGTTCATTTTTCAGTGCAAACACACAAAGTGACATTCAATTCTTAATTGAATTAGCACCATACCGGCGATGACGGGTATCATCACAATTGTAAACTTCTCAATGGTAAACTTCTAAACATAAGCAATAAGTGCAAGCGTCTGTTCACATTATTTAGATCAGGGTGTAATGCACTAGGTATCAAATATATTAGAAGAGGTACTGCCTCCTGCAATGATGATGTTGTGTTATGTAAAACACTGTAAAAGTATTGAGGATGAAATCCATATGGTCTATATTTGTAAACGCTATGAGAATATGCGTCGGCGCTACATTTCGAAAACGGTCCATGGATATTATTATTCACTCCGCAGCATATGAACATCATCCGACATTAACATCATAAATAATTTTGTCAAGTTCTTAGAACATGTTTATTCTGCTCCTGTTAGCGTTGTTGTATGAAAATGGTAACCAAAATCACTATTGTACCACCTTGTACGATGGGTCGTATGGCCTTTATACAAAATAAACCCTTCTTCTTCTTTTTAAACGAGAGTTATATTTGGGATTACACTTTCACAGTAAAGTACAGATTCTAGTATTTTTTGGGTTGAATATCATCCGGGAGTCGAACCCACATTTTGTGAGTCAGACACCCAAAGTCAGCTATCTAACCAACTCATATAAAACGTCGATAAAAGAGTAAACCAGTCGAGGTTGTATGCGGAAACCATCAGGAGTAATAGGTCACTGAAAATCAGATGTGATACTTGGTGGTCTCGAAGTCATCCCTCTTGAAATACTGTTAGTATCTTTCGGCACGTTGCATCGTTCTGTCTGGCTTCGTAAATTTCATTCAGAGCTCGTCTACGGGACCATAACCGACCGTTAAAGAACTGGGTCAACACAGCTAGTTCGGTTCAGGACGAACTCACCAATGCTCACTGTATATACCTCAATAGACCTATACATGCAAGCAACTAGATTTACAAACTGAGACGTCGATCACACAATCGTTACACTCCGTTCCTTTTAAGTTGTGCAAAGGCCCCGTCAGTGACAATACAGACATTGATGCCAGTATTTGTTTGGGTTACAAGCACGAAAAACGGATCTAAGTTGATTAAATACATTCGGCTCTGAGCGTTATGTGCATAAATGCAAACAAATCAGAATGCGGATATGACTTCAAGTGTTTCCCTCAAAGAAAACTTTCGGGATGTTTTTAAAACAAATGTAAGATACTGCTAACTGTGTTTAGTCAAACTGTACATCAAATCTGATGTGTCTGAAAAAGCATCTGCAGGATATGAGACATATGGGGAAAACATAAATGAATCATTACGTATAACCGTCCCACGATTCCCCCATTCTTTTACCTATGACCTTCCAACGGAAGCATGTCGCCTAGGCATGTGCCATCGGCTTCTCTCGTTATAACTCGGGTTGGTCACCAGTGGCCACCAGACGATTGGTCACTAATGTATTTGGTGACTTATAATTTAACTAAAGACCTTCTTGATATGTAATCTATTTCGAAAATCTGTTCTCAGATTATATTGTCAGTTGATCTGGTAACTTATTCCACTGACTGACTGACTGAGTTTAGTTTTACGCCGCTTTTAGCAATATTCCAGCAATATCACGGCGGGGGACACCAGAAATGTCTTATTCCATATACTAAGTTGGCGGTTTGTTGTTTAAAGCCGTATCTAGTAATATTACAGTTACATAACTGAGGCGTGATTGTTACCCAATCTTGACCACACAAACTAGTCCCCCAACTGAAGACCGGATGCTACTAACCACCGTCTTCGCTCATCACAGATTGTTAGGAAGTATGTTAAACCGAACGACTCGGAATGTTAATGTTAGTTTAGAACCATTGACATACATTTCATTTTCACCCCATTGCTACAATGGTTAACATTATCAGGTTTATTTGTTGTATGCGACTTGCTACAGTACAGTGCTTAAGCGCACGATTCAATTGCATATCATGTACAATTTATATAATTGCATTTACGCAGTTCTGTAGGAAGAGTATTGCTAACTAGTCGATTATTTCTTATTTGTTTACATTTATGTTGCGTGAAGCAGCGTGCTATAGGTACAAATTCTGCGCATGCGCATCACCATAACATTAAATTATAACGTTGTTCGCAAACTATGTATCCCTTCATCATGTTTAACCGAGTAGCCTCATACGACAAGCATAGGTTCTTGGGACTGATTGCTATTTGTCATTGAGGTGGGACGTGTAGGAAAGTGAGTGAGTGAGTGAGTGAGTTTGGTTTTACGCCGCACTCAGCAGTTTAGGAAAGGATGAAGTTCTCCATGTTTCCAAATGTTGTGGTCTGGTTTATGACTAAATTGTAGGTAAAATAATACACAGGCGGGATTAAAATACATTGCCTTGGTAATGCAGGTTTTATGTTGTCAAGTGAGCATTCAATGCATGTCGGCAACTCGCTAATCTGCCACACAGCGTTGTTACCTGTCTGTTCGGCAGTTGCAACGCATTCAAGGTTCCATTCAATGTGAATTCTCCTAGATCGGACTCTGTCGATCCGCCGATCCGCGTGGGAACTGATAAAATACTTATGTGATTTGAATGTGGTGTAGGGTAACGCATGCGGCATATTTGATTCACATGGTCTCTCCGTGTCATCCATTTCATTTGTTTGTTTGTTGTTTAACGCCGCACCCAGCAATATTCCAGCTATGCAACAACGATCTATAAATAATCAAGTCTGGACCAGACAACCAGACAATCCAGTGATCTCTCTCTCTCTCTCTCTCTCTCTCTCTCTCTCTCTCTCTCTCCCTATCTCTCTCCCCCTCTCCCCACCTCTCTCTCCTCTCTCTCTCTCTCTCTCTCTCTCTCTCTCTCTCTCTCTCCTCTCCTATCTCTCTCTCTCCCTCCCCCACCCTCTCTCTCTCTCCCTATCTCTCCCCCCCCCTCTCTCTCTCTCTCTCTCTCTCTCTCTCTCTCTCTCTCTCTCTCTCTCTCTCTCTCTCTCTCCCTCTCTCAGTATTTTCATCCTACCTTTGCTTCAAAAGTTATGCATTCAGTCTGTAAAGTGTCTAACCATGAGATACAATAACTTTGTTTTGGATTTATAGATTGCAAATTACTTAGGAACATATACAATTTCGTTCGCGACCAAACGCGATAAATTATACCACGATACAACGAGTGTCTAATAGATTTTTTGAACTGACGGATTTACCGATTAGTGAAGTCTAGTTATAACTTTGAATGTTTGTTTTCATATGTCGAAACATATATTTTCACCACACACTTGAACCGTTTCAATAATACGCATGCGCAACATAAATATCAGCGGCAGATACAGGCATTCTGTAACAGTTACTATTATTGGGACTGCAATGTCTGGGGAGACTGAAGTGACTCTTGGGATGATAGTTCCTAAGTAACCACAACAATTATGACGTCACACTGTTCTAGAAGCAAAGCGTCAACGCGTTGTGTCAAGTCATAGGGTCAATTCTCAGGGTTTCATAATGACATGTATAGTTGTTGCCCATTTGAAACTATGCGGAGGTGACTAGTCAAAGAGGCGGACATATGACAGAGTGATTTAGTAAATAACAGTCTCAATGCTACCTCTTAACGATAGGGACTGGTCTAGCCGAGTCGAAACTTCCTGTTTCCCCCGAACTCATAAGATATTTCCTGTGAGTAGTATCCCATATTACGCGCTTCAACCGTGTTCGCACAACCTTACATCTGGTCCACGGTAGGAGAGGCAATGCCTAGCGTCGGAAAACATAGTCAGGCGCCTTCAAGGTGGGATAACATTTGGCAATTCCTATGCTCTTCACGATGTGTATTTCATGCTTGAACAGTGGTGATGGGACACATTTGTGCTGTCTCACTTGTGCTGAGATTAGTTATGTTGTCTTACCTTGCCAAATACAACTTCGTCTCATGAACACGTATAACTGTACTTTCTGATTGGTTTCGTTACAGATGTCATGCTGGAAAGAATGCCTTTGGGGGGTAATGTATTCGTTTGCTGATATAATGACACGAGAAAGAATGTTGCTTTCAGACTCAATAAGAAATACAGTCAGCTATATGTATGTTACGAAATACATATTTATGTATATCACGGGCCTTTAGATAAATAGACAAATACGTGATTCAGCCAGGCCTGTAACTGAAAGACTACTGCGCGCTTTAGCGACCAGGTCCCAGTCCCACAAGGCAATCGTATGCGTAGTGTTCTAGTATGCTCATGCTTTTGATCACTGGATTGTCTGGTTCAGACTCGATTATTTACAGACCGCCGCCATATAGCTGGAATTGCTGAGTGCGGCGTTAAACAACAAACAACAGTAACTCAGCCGACCTGTAATCAATAGAGTCTAGGCCATGCAAGCCTCTGACTGGACCTGCATGGGTCAACGATCAACGCTATCAGCGCTAAATCACACACCCTATATTACAGTCAGTGATGCTGCTTTTAGAACATTATCAATGTGATCTATCACTGAACAGATGCTTGTAAACGTGATACGAGTATATTATAAGTTGATAGGAATATGTTGATGAGGTGTGCTGTACATCAACGTGCTACAAATACAGAATGCTAAAATAACGTTATACATGTATACATATGGATATCTAAAACAAGGAAACCGATAGTTGATTTGCAAATAATGCTTTCGGATGAATACAGATATATAAAAAAGGCTGA